CTTCCAGCTTACCTCTGATCATTATGGCACCAGCAGTTGGAGATAGGTAGTGTCTATTCTATTCCCCTTCCTTTGTATCTCCCTTTTTTCCCCTCCTACATTTGTGCCCCCGGGATTTATAAACCCAGCCAGCCATATCAATCACATGTGAAGAGATAGTGGAAGTAACAATAACCTAAGTGGAGTTTCCTCATGGGGGACATATTTTGAAGTGTTGTCCTCAAAAAAAGAAAATTCCCAGAAAGAAAAAAAGTAGTTACATTTAAGACGGGTCTGAAAACTAAAATCAAGTCACTTTTTTAGCGTGTTTTGGAAAGTAGAAAAACGTTGCAAAAATCAAGCAAGCGATTTTAACCTAGACCCTGCATTGAGGTCTATTTTAAATCCCTGTTGTTCTCCAACACCAGAGCTGGTGCCATGGGAGTGGCATTTGCCTGTGGGATCATGTACTCCCACCCCACGGAAGCGCATGTTTGCTTCCCAAACAAACCACTGTGCCCACAGAGAGCTCCATTCCCCACAGCTCACTCTGCAGTCCCAGTCAAGTCACCAGGTTTATTCTTCCCCTTCACACCCTCCCCTACAGCCCAACACTGTGCCAGCCTGCTTTCCTCTCCAATTCCGACTTTTAAAGCCTCAAGGAACAGGTATAATCGCATTTAAAGCCCGAAGGAGCAGGTATAATCACATCGTCTGGCTTCTCAAGTGGCCAAGAACTACCTCGCCCCACTCCTGTGCCCACTCCATTTCTCTTCGAGGCACCCTTGTCTAGGTTTGGAGCAGTGAAAGCTGGAAAACCCAGGAATAGTCACTGTCCAGTGAAGGTCTAGCATCTCATTTCTAGTTCCATCATGAGGTAGCTGCAGGTTTTCTGCTAGGTTAGAGCCCTCTGCTGCCAGAAGCCTCGCTCCCACCTCGGGAACACCAGCCCACGCTTGAGTGGGATGAGCCCAGACACAAGAGTCTTAAGTTCACCTTGTCTTACAGTGCCAGTCAGCGTTTCCAGGCTTCAGGTCATCCCTGTTGCTCCCTCCTCAAGTCCTTCTAATCTTCGGTGTCCTTTTCAGTGTCATAGACTCGGATTTTACACAAAGGGTTCACTACGGTGACCCAGGGGAGAAACTTTCCCTCCCTCCTTGGTGAACACAGGCTAATGCACCCAAGCGAAATCCGTCTACACAGATGAAGAATTACACAAGTACCATTAATTTACTTGGTTACCTCCCAATCCCCTAATTCTTTTTGCAGTCGCTTCAGAGTTTCCAGAAAACCATCCTCCGTCTTGAAAAAGCACAGACTACATTTATGTTCCTGGGTGGATGTCTTGCTGCTTTCAGTGCAGCCAGAAATCCTTGCTGTTTATAAACAAACACCACACCAACAGTTAGGGACTGCTCCACACATCGCATCTTTTCCCATCATTTATCACTTTCGTTGTTCCTTGGGTCCTCTGACAGCTTCATCAGCACTGGTTTAATATCTTCTTTCAGATCATTAATCGAGTTACTAATGAGCATTAGTTTCAGAACATAATTCATATTTTGGGGTCTCTTGCTCCTCATTCCTTAAAAGCTATCAGTAAACTAAAATTTGTAATATCGGCCCTTTTGTTGTTTTAATATTTCTTTCTTTTAAATCAGAGGATAGTCTTGTGTGGCAAAGTAAGATACCTGGTGCTGGTGTTACCTTTAACTTTAGGCTGCTGTAGTGCCTTTGTTAACCCAACCCATGATTTAATCAGAAAATACATTACAGATGTTAGACAGAAACAATTTCAATAAAGTGAGATCGAGAACATTTTAAAAACTGATACATCTATTTTTATTTTTAAGTTTAATGCATTTTCCATCTCTTATCTCGATTTAATGTCAGTTTACCTTGGTTTACAGCTGTGGATATCATCTCATTTACTGTTTAGAAATATTGGCACAAGGTTAACTTTCCTGGGCTCAGCTTTATTTCCCCAGTATTCTACAATGCTTTAAAAAGTACAGTGAAAAGTGCACCGCGCTTCAGGGCTACTGACAAACATTTAAGGACAAAGTTCCCACGAGCTCAAATGACGCTTATTTTCACAATACATTTTCAAATGAAGAAAACCGAATATACAACAAACAAACCCCCTTAAATTTCTATTCTATTTGCGTGTAGCTATTGCACTCTCATCGGAGCTACATCACCCAGTGTTTCCAGCCTCTCTCCACCTCATTCTGTCCACCTCCCTTCCCAACCTAGCCCTCCCCCCCCCCCCCATTTTAAGCATGGGGGGCTCCTCTGTCTCACCGCAGGTGCCCCGCTCTCTCCTTAGCACAATCCAGAAGTGCCACTGAACTGCACTGCTTCGGTGCTTCAGCTAGTCCAATTTGAAGCTAACAGCTGTGGGAGGAGGAACAAGAATGGATTTTGTCTCCACCAGATGGATAAGCATGACTTGGATCCGTGCCCTGCTCATCTTAAACACTGACTTTCATGTTGGGAACATTCAACCTTCCTTTTCTCCATCCTGCTGGAAGAGCTGTCACAGACAGAATAAAGACTCATCCCAGGGCTTCCCTTTGCCCCGATAGAGCAGGTGGATTACTTTTAAGAGGAAACCATTTCACGTGAAATACAACTAATGGGAAAAAGTGAACCGGGTGTAGGTGTGGGCCAAATGCTGAAGTTAGGGTGGCCTAACAGGGATGGGCTTGCTGACTGCACGGCTGTTCTTGTTTTCAGGTAGCTCAGTGCGAGCGGTGCCGCGCACACGGGCTCGGGCACCTGCTTGCAACAACTCAGAGCTTCTCACAGCTTGTCTAGAGACAAAGGATGAGGAGTAAATCATTGGCTGTGCACACATACCTTTTGGTTGCCTCCATGCAATTTTCTGCATGCTCTTCCATTGGATAACAACCTTTGTCAGCGATCAGTAAGTGTACTTTCACTAAACCAGGATATCAGCAAAAGGGAGAGCCCCAAGCACAACCCACAATCACTCAGCGAAAGGCACCAGTGGCAGCGCATCTTACACCCACTGGGGCACAGATCTTTCTCCTTGCTTTCACGTTCTCTCCTCTTTTTTTTTTTTTTGAGTCTCTCAAGCCACTGATCAAAACGCACCATTGTGCCCGGATCACCACCAGCCTGGAGCAGCTGAGGAGGTTTCTTCAAGCAGAAACCTGAGCGGCAGGTGAAGAACGGCCTCCCAGGACTGAGGCAAGCAGGGCTTCCCCGCTTTGGGGAAAGAACTCCTGCCCTCTGAAGTCAGAGGTTAACGTACCGTACCAGCCTTGGGATCAGCAAAGGGGAGACCCTTCCCAATATACCTCCCGTATTTTTTGGTTTGGGATCTCTAAAAGTCTCTCCTGAGCTTCTGTCTCTGCTTCCTAGCCTTAACACAAGGGTCTTCCTCTAACTGAACCTCTTCCATTTCCCTAGACCACCGGAGCCTTGTCACACCCAGAGAAGGCCGAGAACTTGGAAACAACTGTACAGCACTTAACAAGGCTCAAGCAGCCAGGTAAATCACACCTCCCCCAGCACAGAGTGCAAGAGCACGCAAGGGTCCCAAGTCTGCAAGCAAGGCAGCACCCAACAGGGTGCAGAGGCTGTATACTGATTAAAAAAAATATGTGGGATTCGATCAAAAGTAGGAATTCCGTGCCCAAAGAGGGATGGATTCCCTCATCTTAAAGGTCCGAATTAATCACTGCCACCACCACACCCATCTCCCTGTTCTCCCTCTCAGACATCGCCTCAAAGAACGGCCAGGACCTTGCAGCTGGTCCCACCACTGTCTCAATGCTTTAAGCACATTTCTGAGCTCGGTTGGTTCTTCACTGGATCAAAACACCAGGTCCCACGTCCCACGCCAGCTCAAGCCTACCACTGAGATGAGGGCCTGCTGCTGTTCCAGTTCCTTCTTGCAAAGCCTGGCAACCCCGCGATGACTTGTCTTTCGCCAAACCTGCTTTTCTCCGTGGAGCTCCTCCTTCGGCCTTGCTCTTTGCAGAGTCTGCCTTAATTATGACATCTCCAGAAACTCAGCCCACTCCTGGGACAGCTGGCTTATCCCCCTCCAACACTTACCTCACTGTCTCAACCAAGGTCCCTCCCTTCACTCTCCCAAATGCCAGGGAAACCTCTCCGACTGCCCCCAGGTGTGGAGCCGCCACCTGAAGACCGGGACTCCACTGGGGTTTGCTACAGGACAGGACAGCGTGGGGAAGCAGGGAGAGAGCACGCCGTCAAGCTGAGGCTCTACCCTGCGCTTCCTTGAAGGGTGGAACATGTGCAAACTGTGCCCCTAAGCTTGCAGAGGCTGGATTCTGCTTCCTTTTTTAAAGGCAAGCTAGTCAGCCCTCGGCAAGGCGTCGATCCCTCTGTTAGTGCCCGTATGTACAACGTGGGGATACATGGCAAGATCCCGGCATGCCACTTCCAAGTGTCAGTCGTTCATCAGTTTCCAGCCTTCTGTTCCAAACGAGCTGATGAAATGATTTACGTAAGGGTGCATGCTGGAGCAGGAAACTGGCCCAACAACACAGGCTATCTTCCCTAGCCCTGTATTCCTAATGCCTCTCAAGTTTCACCTAATACCGAAGAAGTTAAGGAAAGGTCATTTGTAACATCAGCCTCAGATGCAGGGAAATAATAAGAAAATAATGAAAATATTCCCTGGCCATGCAGGAACCCCAGAGGCCCAGTTCAGGGCCGCACAGATAACCAAGGCAGCAAGAAAGACCAACCAATCTCCCTTGAGCGCACAGGAAACCTACAGCAACTCAAGGGCGTTTTTGCAAACGGTGGGTTCTTGGGTCTTCTTTCACAATTTCCACGTTGAGCATTATCTTACTTTTGAACTAGATGGGAAGGCCATAAGGCTATTTTCTGTGGGAGTATAAAGTCTTAGAATTAAACACCAAGTTGCTCCTCAGCAATTTCCCAAAGATATGAAAGAGGTTACCTAATTCCACAGCAGGCACAATTAGGTCAGCTGAAGGCAAACACTGATCCAACAATTCTTTACAGTTTGTTTCTTTATTCAGTAAACACCTAGTTACAAGTTTCACAAATTAAAAAAGTGGGGGAGCTGATTGAAGAGGAGTCAGGGGAGGGGGGGGGCCCCACAGGTTGATCCAGCTTTTGTTCTGCTCCTTCCCTTCTCTAACGCACACATCCTTCTGCTTCTCCATTGCTGCACCAAGGAGCAGGAGAGAAATCAAAGCCTCTGGCCCGGTGAGGGGACCAACACAGGGTTCTAGCAGAATTCCCTCGTACTTCTTTCACAGGGGATTAAACACAAACTTCAGAACCAGCCCAACCCAGCACAGAAAGAGTGGAAAGGATGGAAGAGGCAAGGTGGCAGCTCCTCACGCCCACCACTACTGGCAGAAAGAACAGAACCAAAGGAGAGCAGAAAGGGAATGGGCAATGAATGCGTTCCTCACACATCAGTGATATTCCCCACACCCCACTGCAGTACCCAAATGGGCAAAAAAGAGCAATGCAGAAGATTAGTTGCTTTGTTTCAATTCTTAAGTGGGAGGGAGGTTAATACTAAATTTGAGGAGGGTCCAAGTGCTACTTTGAAGGGGCTTCAGAGTTTCACTGTCTGTACCTGGGAGGAAGGGAAACGGAGAACGTAAGAAGAGTAAGTGGTGAGTCCAAAGCAGTACAGAAGACAGATAAAGACACCTTTAAACCTGACATCTACACATTAAAAAAAAAAAAAAAAAAAAAAAAAAAAAGTCCCCTTTTGAGCACTAGATTACACCCTAGTGAACCCTATTCAAAACACAGGAGAGCAGACACCAGCACTTACTTACACTTCAAAGTAGACTGACAGCAAACCGTGTCTAAGTTCTTGACAATGACAGTATAAACACTCTATGGATTGTGATCCTACATCATTTCAACCATCAGTTAAGGCTGACACCACAATTTTTCGCTGACAACAAAGCAAACTTGAACAGTTTCCATCTTCTCATTCAGAATAGTATTCTCTCAAAAGTCACCTTTCCCTGCTCACTAGATTAAGTGGGAAAACCCATTTCCAACCAGCACTTCAAAATAATGTAAGATTGAGGCAATGAAAAAATGCTCGTGTAGCTAAGAGGCAACCGTGCAGTGGAAGACAAGGAGGAGGAAAAAAAAAAAAAAAAAAAAAACAACTTGTTAAGACTTACAAGAGTGTGTAGGTAGATTTGGGGGTGGCCACGCTGCACCCCCCACAAGGTCTGCTCTGGGTTCACCAGTCATATCGACGGGACTGTCTGGAGGGAGAATCCTCAGGGCCCTGGATTGCAAGACGAGTCCCTTCAGCCCGACGGCTGCTGCTGCCCTCATGGCGCCGATAATCCAGCCCCCGCTGGGGCCGGAAACGGGAGGTCTCTCGCCTCCACTCATCATCAAACGCCGCTGCGTCACCTACGTAAGGAAAAACAGAAAAAAAAACCAAAAAAAAACAAAACAACAAGCTCAGATGGGGAAGAAGTGGGAAAGCAGCACCTGGGTTTGCTGGGAGGAAGACACGGGCAGTACTCACTTTCATCCATGTTGATGTAGTCCTGCCTCTCCTCCTGGTCGCCTGTGCGATGGTTCCGGGACCGCTGCATGATGTGGGCCCGCTCCCTGATGTGGTGCCCGATTGACATTTGTTCCAAGCCACTGTCCGAGTCCCTTACGGTCCGTCTAGTCTCGCGGATCTGAGGGCAGATTCCCGTGTCGGATCGACGTTCTAATTCATTCTCCCTGCCCCACACGGCGCTCTATTTGCCTGGAGTACTTCAGTCACACTGCGCTGCCACCACTCCCAGGATGTCAGACGCAAGATAATGAAGAGGGGAGAATGGATTCCCCCCACCAGCACTTCCCATCCCCTCCCAGTGGCCCCCAGCATGGTTCAGTGAGTCACGGCTCGCTCTCCGAGCTGCAACTGACTGCAAGGCACAAGTGCTGTGGGTGGCCAGCACTGAGCCACCAAACGAAGCCTGTCCACCCACGGCAAAACCAGCAGCCTTGTGCTGACAAGACGCACTGCAGCCTCCTCCTTACCCCACCAGGTGCTGAACGCATCTCTGAGGTCTCTTGATAGACTTTGGGCCCATCACCCAGGTTGGAATAGGAGATGACAGTTGAGGAGGTAAATGTCTGGCAGTTAGCACCACTTGTCATATGCTCCTGCAAGAAGAAATGGGGAATGGTGTAAGGAAAGAATGGGAAGGAAAGAGAGATGGCAGTCAAGTCTCTCCCTATACAACAAAGTAGGAAGAAATTACAGTAGGAAGAATATAATCCCCATGGGTCCCTCCTTCTAGAGGATACATCTTTCTGTGAAATTAATTCTTGTTTCTTGCTAAAGAAGTCGACCCCCACCCATCTCTCCTCCCTGCACTCAGAGGGTATGCCTCTGGAAAAAGCGCTCCGTCACTGAATCCTGGCCATGAAGCAAGGCTTACAGCCTCTGCCACCTCTGGCAGCTTGAGCACAGCCCATACCAAAGCAGCACAATAAGATGGGAGACATTACAGGGGATGGCAAGGAGCACCCTCACTATTCCCCTCAATACAGGCTGGCTCATGGAGGGTTCTTACCATGTTTCCGATCATGTCGTTCATCATCCCAAACATATCTATAAAGCCACCTGCCTGATAAAAAAGGAAAACAGAACACAAGAACAGTCAGTTTGGAAAGATACAGGAGAAAATAACAACAATCTGCAAGGGACAAAAAACTGCTGCCTAAGAAAAAAAAAAAAACCTTGTTGTTTTCCCTTTCTTTCAGCAGTGCAGAAAAAAAAAACGATTCGGGGTTGCTGTTCCCTCCATTCTCTCAGCTTGCACTGTCCAGGTGTTCTGGCTCTCCAGATCTCTCCATATGGCAAACGTTGCTCTTTTACTTGGACTCCCAACACACTGGGGTCTGTGAGTGTCTGGGCACTCAGCAAAGCTAAGAGGAGGAATCTCGGGAGAAATCTCACGTGCAGCAACAGCGATCTTAACTATAAGACAGTGCTCCTCGATGATGTTCTGCCTCATCACTGTCATCTCTTAATTCAAACCACAAGGAAGTTTCAATTGATTGTATTCTTTCTAACATAATAACAACTTTTCTTATTTTTCCTACAAACACCTGACTTTTTAATCTTGTAAACCTAAAGGCTGCAGTAATGTACTGGGCCAGCAGGTCTCACAGGTTAATTGTGCAATATATAAACAAAATTACTATGTCAGTTTAAACTTGCTGATTTTTTTGTTTCCTTGAGTAGCCTCTTGTTCTCATTTCCAGCAGAGCAGTACTCACACACAATGTTATTATCCTTTGAAGTCTATCTGTTTGTATTCTTATTAAACAATTCCGGGACGCTTAGTCTCTTTCACTGAGGCAATCCTGCTCAGCTAAGTTGCTGGATCTGGAATAACCTATTTCTACTGTATTATTTTAGTAGAAGATGGAGATCAGCACGCTCCAAGCACAGCGTTCTCAGATACATATAGTCATTCACATTCCAGTCCTGTTCACCTGAAGTATTCTGTTGGCTTTTCCATCTGCCACTACTGGCAAAGGAGGTTCAATAATCACCTCTGCCTGCTGACGGCCAAGTCTTTTCCTCATGTTCATCACAGTTCCTTCATTACCTCCAAACAGATCTGCAGCTTCTTTTCAGACTCATGAGGTTATTAAGAGACTATCTGCTCTCCCCAGATATTAACTGTCCGAATTTCTATGAAATATTGTGCTATAACAGCTTTAGGACTCTTCTGCGGTCAAGGTGCAAATACAACCTCCCCATATAAACAGAGTTAAAATCTCTCCTCTAAAACAGCTCACAGGCTAGATTAAAACATTAGAAGAGAAACAAGGGAAAGGCCTTAAGTCATATAGCAACCCAGTGAGAGAGGTTCAAGAGAAACCAGCTGCCTCCGGTTTCAGTTCAATACCCTCTTCCCTGTTCTATTTACTATAAATCTAGAGCTCATTCTCCTCTCTTCACACCTTCCCACCCTCACCACCCCTTAGGATAGATGGTCTTGCTCACAGATGGCTACAATTTAGCACCAGTTGCACCCAGCGCTGATGAATATCAGTATGGAGCCAGCACTTGGAAAGCCTCTAAATTTGACCCAGAAAAAACAGAGAACTTACCATGCCCAGCATCCCGAAGGGTGAAACAGCTCCTGCCTGCCAAGAACAACAGAAAAACAGAACAGAGAAGGATCTTGCAGCAGCCAAACACTAGATGCTCCTCAGAACACCCTCAATCCTTCTCAGAAACAGAACTGGGAACACTCAGGCCCAACAAACTGATCAAGAAAGTGCACTCACGGCAGTTCAAATCATATTACCCCTAATAAACCAGACGGAAGGTGATGCTCCTAAATTTCTCCCAGTTATTCTTATTTTTGTCCTTCTTCCCTTTCTCCCATTCAACGTAGAATGCAGCTGTGTTCAATGCATTAATGCACATGGAGTAAACAAAAGGACAAGAACGCCACTGCTTTGGAGATTAATTCTGCACCCGCCATCCACGTGAAGATGAGGGGTCGCCCAACCCAGTTACAGTGGAAGATAAAAGCTGACAAGGCAGTTTAAGAAATCCCATCCTGTACTCTGCCCCTCTTTTACCTGCATCCTACGGCCAGCCTGGCGAGCCCCAGGTGTGGTCCCATCAGTGATGCCAAGGAGCGGGCCGAAACCAAAACTTCCAGAAAGCACGCGGTTCATGTGCTGCCGGTGGATGGCAAAGGGGTCCCTTTCGGAAAGGTTGAGAGAACAGTGGTGAGGAAGGGATGGCAGAAGACAAAGCCCCACGCAATCCACCCATTCTGCCTCTTACGTAACTGTATATTACTCTCCAAGCTGAAAATCCAGAATCCCAAGAACTCAGTTTTGCTTATGGTGATCCCTGGGGCTGGAAGGGACCTCTGGATCCCATCTTATTTCTTGTAATAGAAGGTATTACACCACAGAATCCCTCTCAGGCACTAACTGATGTCTGTTCAGAAGTAGTTTGCTGTTCTGCTCCCACTAATGCTTTAGGACCAAGCGTGGCCAAGGCCATCCCAGAACCTCATTACTCCAACATACGAAAAGCCACTCCTCAGATTCACAGTCCACGTACCACCATCATTTCCCACTCGTTTCCTCTTATGCCATCAAAACCCTTTATGTTAACAGCTCTGCAAAACAATCAAACCCTTCTAGATAAGCAGTTCTTCATTTTGCAGGTAGGTGCACAAGGACCTTCCTGGCTGCAAAGAGAAGACTACACTTAATGGGACCAGAAAGCACGTGATCCTAGATATTCTCCTCTCATCCCTCCACATACACAAACACACTCAAATGCAAGACTGACACCCCCAGAATGGACTGCATGGCCTGACACTCTGTGACATCCCTCCACCCCAAGTAATCTTCACCTGCCATTTTCCTACAATGTTGTGCGTATACTTGTCAAGAGGTTGAGACCACATACAGCTTTTGCAGACTTAAAAGGAACAATAACTCGGGTCCCTAACTGGTTTTTCTTCCTCTCCTTCTTCTGCAGCCTCCACTTTGAGGGCTGTATGAATTCACACATGCTGGTGGAGCAAGAGTAGAAAAAGGAGAATAAGGACAAATGGCCACAGAACACAGTGGCCACAGTAAAAAAAAAAAAAAGTCTGGGAAATACCATAGCATTTCTCTGCATATCTTCTACTCTGCACTTACTCTTCTTGAGCATGAATAACCTCAACAGCACAGAGTATTCCTGAGATCACAAAAGCACCTACTACAAACCAATACTTTTCTGTCTCTACTGGAAATACTTTCCATAATACACGTTAGACTCATACCTACCACATCAATGAGAACACAGTCATTCTGTGATTAACTGGGACATCCAGGTCTCCTCTCCTGCTAATTTGTTTACAGCTGATAAAATTCTTGCTTATTACCAATTTCATAAGAAAAAATGGACCTTATTAGTCTACATAAATTAATTCCACAAAATTTCTAGTAGTGCCATTTTTAACATATTCAGATTCTTACTGTATTACAGTCTTTTCCTTATCTGCTTTAGCAAGGACTGGAAACTTAAGTTTCACTGCCAAAATTTATCAATAGCATATAATTTCTGGACTGTGGACAAAACCAAAGACATTCAGTAAAAGGAATCCCAGGAAGAGGTCTTGGGACCTTCGTTAGATTTCAACACTCACACTTCAAAACTACTTGTTGTCTCCACTTAGCTCCTTACAACTTGACAACTGCTTTAGCAGTCTTCTCCAGCTCCAATAATGAGTTCACGTGCAAAACAGCAATAAACACTGGACAGAACAGTAGATTTTATCTATCTGAACTGAAATCCTACTTTGCATAGGAAAAAAAAAAAATAAAAATCCTTACACAAAGATTAGGTATTTCAGCCCTCTATTCCTCAGACAGTTGCAATGCCTTTTGGCCTACTTTATTTAATTATGCCTTCCTCCAAGACCACGCTCTACTATTACAGAAATCAGACCAACGCAAACCAGGTTATTCCCTGTGCTGCCCCTGAAGAAAATGTTTGTATTTTTCTCCAGCAGCTGCTGCGCTGCGGCATCTCCCGCAGCCGGAGACCCCCTGCCCGCCTACTGGGATGCGAGGGTAGCGCACACCTGGACCCCCCCCCCAGCCCCCCGGGGCTGCTCTGTGCCGCAGCCCCCATCCCTGCTGTGCCCTCCCCGCTTCGGAGGATGCCCGGGCTCGACTCACATGGCAAACATGGGGTCCTCCGGCTCGCCATCCCTCATCAGCCGGAACATGCTTCCCTCAGTCAGGGGCGGCCTCTGCGGAGGGGAGAGTGCGGGTGAGCTCAGCCTCGGAGGGCGGGGAGGGGACGAGCAGCGGAACTCCCGCCCCCCCCCCCCCCCCCCCCCCCCCCCCATCCCGGGCAGGTGATGGCAGCGCTCGCCCCGCAGCGCCCTAGGCCGCGACACCCCCCACACCCACCGCGGCCCTCCCGGCCCCGGGCCCAGGCCCAGGCCCAGGCCCGGGCCCCGGCCCCGCCCGCCGCGCCCCTTCCCCTGCCTGCCGGCTCGCCGGTGGGTGCCGAGCGGCGGGCGCAGCCCTCCCCCTTCCGCAGCAGCGGGACCCCTGCGAGCCCGCTCACTCCTCCGCTCCCATCGCGGTCTGGGACCGCCGCTCGCCCCCTGCTGCCCCGCCCCGCCCCGGCCGGCTCAGCCCCGCGCATGCGCGCCCGGCCCGCCCCGGCCCGGCCGGCGGCGAGCTCACCGGGGGAAGGCGAAGGCGGTAGAAGGCCCCGCCCCGCGCCGCCGGAAGGACGATTGCGCAGGGCGCCCCCTGGCGCCAGGCGGCCCGCGCCCGGCTTCGCAGCGCCGGCCCGAGGCGGCGCCCCGGGCCCAGCGCCGCGGCGGCGGCTTCACCGTCTTGGGGAGGCGGGGGAAGGCCGGGGGGGGGGGGGAACCGCGAACTCCACCCGGCCCGGCGCACGGCAGCGGCTGGTGGGTCCGGGAGCGAGCTGCAGTTGGCAGCGAGTGAAAACACGCCCCGGTCACAAGGGGCCGTTGTTCCTCGGGCAGAAGCGGTGGCGGATGGGGCGCTGGGGGGGGGGGGGGGGGGGTGTTGCTCACCTCACGGCCCGGTAAGCGGAGGGGCGGTTGGCGGGAGAGGCGAGTGCTCGAAGGATCGGAACGAGAGTGAGCACGGTCACGGGTGCTTCTGCCACAGAGCTGAGGCTGCCGCCCGGCCCGCTCACAGCGACCATAACCCCAGCGGCTGGTGGCCACTGAGGCCGCTGCCAGGGCCGGCAGCACTCAGCCCGGGCACGGAGCCGGCACCAACAGAATTTCTTGCCTGCGCCCAGAGCACGGACAGCATCCGCACCCCAGCTCTCCGCCAGGCAGAAATGGGGAGGGTGCTTTGTAAGCTGGCTGCGGGCCGTCACTGCTGCCGGGCAGCCACCGAGAACCACAGAAAAAGCTCCGGTGCTCGGTGTGTGCACCCACAGCGGTGGCGGGGAACCTCCACGCATCAGTGGGGTGACAGCCTCTGTCACCATCCCTGGAGAAGACTGGTTGCCTTTAGCTACCGCCGGCTCCACTGGACTATAAGGAAGAGAGCAGACTGACTCCTTCCAGCCCAAGACCAGGGCATGTTTCCTTGACTGCCCAGTGTGTGCAGGAGCCAGGCTAAACCTGTGCCAGAGAGCTGGAAATAGCAGGTTGCAAGATGTAGCTGAGAAGTTGAACTCCTGGGTTGCGGCAGGAGCCATGTCCTTGCATTTTGGTGTCTGACAGAGAATGACCTGGTAGCATGCTTTACGTGGTGGAATGCATAGGGGACTTGGCTTGCCACAGCACGTCTCAAAACTTCTTGGTGTCCAGAAAGAATAGCAGACCTCTCACTGGATGTCCATGCCCATGCGTACGCAGAAGACTCTTCAGATGTCCCCTATTGTATCTGGTAAGTGCATTCTTCAGAGGCTGAAACTAACGTCCACACCATGGAAGCTGGGGATACCACAGTGGTGCAGGGTCGCAAGGTGGAGACAGATCCTATGGGCAGGACACGGGCTAAGCAGTGACAAACCTCTTGGACAGTGCTCCTTAGGTAAGCTGATGAAACACTCTCCTGTCCCCAGCTCCGAGCTGATCTGCGAGCATAGAAGTTCGTGCAGAGCCTCTGCTAACACTGCCTCAGCCTCTCTGCTCCTTCTTTTGCAACCCTGAAAATCATTTTTACAAAAACCCTTTTTGCAACCCTTCAGAGACCTCCGGTCTGGGAAGACTTTCTTGGCTGGTGTGTTTTCCCTGTGCTCTGAGGCTCTCCTGGCGTTTTTTTTAGTGTGCGCAGTTGACCTCGAGTGTAAGGATTCGAAGGCAAGTAAAGAGCTTTTTCGGCAAGAACATAAGCAACTCTTTTTTTTTTTTTTCTTTTCTTTCCCCAGATACACGATAAAATGACTTGCTGTCACTCAGATACCAGTGACCCTCCCACTCCTGAAATGTCCTAGAGATGATACAACTCCTTTTTTCCAAATACGAAGTCAGGCATTGCTGCCTACCAAACACAGAGATAGGGAAGGAATAGAATGGAGTTTGGAACAAATAATTGCTTTGCAAATCCTTTTTCTGTCCCTGATGCTTCTCCTCTGCAAGTGGCCTGTGACCCAAAGGGCTGAGTTTATGAGACTGGGGGCTGAGGCTGTGAGTCTTACTGTGCATTTCTGCAGCCTTACAGGCAGTCCTTGCAGTTGATGAACCTATATTACCAAAGACTACATTACTAGTGGAATTACCGGTTCAGCAAATCTCAGGGGAATCTAGCTTGCAAAGAACTGTCCTGGTGGGAGATGCTGGGAGAAACCCTGGAAGGAGGAATTGGAAACACAACCTTTTTCTGGAACATGGACAAGCCCACTGTTCTGCGGAATGCAGAAGCTGTGTTACTGCAAAATTTGTAGGAGAGGTTTCTGTATAGTACTCACCACATCATGTCTAACGTGCACCAAGGGGATGGTTGTTTGCTAGGTTAGAATAACGAAGCCCGTGGGGGTGTGAATGGAAAGCAAGATTCCCGTCCTGCTCCTGTCACGTTCTCTATTTAGGCTGCTTCTGTTTTTGTCATGAATAAAAGCCGTTAACTATGTCTCTCCGTTTCCTTTCTTTCTTTTCTTTAAGCTGCCCAGGTTGTGCTGGAGGCAGTGGAGGATGGGGGAGAGGGGAGGAAGAAGGAGCTCAGCAGGCAGCCAGGAGGAGGTGAGTGAAGGGCGAAACAGAAGAGGGATGAACGGCGCCGCTGACGTTGACTCCACCTTCTCCCACCTACCGCCGGTTGCTGCCGGGCAGCCTGTGCCCCGCATCCCCATCGCCCTTCGCGGCACAGTCAGCCAAAGGGGAAGCCACAGTGGAAGCATTTTAAAAGCAAGCCGAGGATCACGTGGTAGAGGTAAATAAACAGTATGTTGAAAAATCATGCCTTGTTACCTGCTGCTTCCAGGGACCAATCATTCTGGCTAGGAGGACAGAAACAGCTTCTTAGTGTCCAAATGTTCCAGGGCCCCTGTGGATGCCTGTAAGACAAAGAAATCCTCGTTATCTGAAGTCAGAGCTACCCACGGCCATCTCCTCATTGGTTCCCTTCATCTGCGCCTCTTACGTAATCCTCACCCTACAACTCACTGACCTCAGATGAAGGGCACCCTGAGTGAAGGGCAGCTCTGATTTGATCTTTGAACATGACGATTTATATTTGGGATGGTAGAGCCAGCCTGTGGTGGCTGCAGCTTGTGGCGCACAACAGTGATTACTTTCAGAGTATTTTGCTTGTGTTAAGAACGTGTCTGTCACCCTGTGAATGAGAACCACGACCTCCATCTGTGCTGTGTTAGCAAAGAGAAGTTCACAAACATCACAGCTGAAAACCTCCCTCCCCCTTTCCAGTCTTCTGACAGGCTGTGTCATCTCCTGTCACTCCTTTCTACTCCTCTTGCTTCCTCTCATCGTGTTACCTACCCTACTTCCCAGCCCTCCTCAGCGCTTATTTACATATGTTGCCTCTCAGGAAGCCACTTCCCAATGCAAAGTTGGCCAGTGGTTGAATTCCTGGGCATTTCCTCTTGACTTCGGGACACAGCATCATGAAAGAAGAACAAAACTGATTATCTGCCCAGATTTTTAATGGACACAGGACAGAAAGATGAACGCTGTGGATTAAATACATAAATGCATTCAAACACATTCCCTCCGCACATGGAGTTTTTGCTAGTTTCCCTGTAAGTGAAAGGACAGATACTCTCCGTGTCTGAATTTATGTAAATCTAAGAAAAGTTAATGCAAATGCACAACGTTTTGCTCTTTTGTTGTTCAGCAAACAGTTTGGAAGAGTTCTGGAATGGCCTGTGAGTTAGTTCACCAAATAAAATTCTTGAAATAATACCCAGTACTGTGTTTTGCGTTTGTTAAGAAAATGCCTTGGTTAGTTCAGCCTTCAACATAAACAAAAAAGTCATATGTGCCCCCCAGCAGTAAGGTATTAAAACAAAATGCATAAATATTTGCTTTTAGGTGCATGCACCCTGCATACGCTAGAAGCAGAAAAATATGTACCACACATGAAAGCCCAGACACGTATGCAAGCACGTGCTCTCATATGAAGACACACACATGCAATCTTAATCCATGCCTCAGTACCACACTCTAAACTCAAAAGTGTATGCAACAGAGAAAAAAATGTCACCACTGTACCGCATCTAAATACGTGCACACACCTGCATAAACACAAAGCACAAACAGGATACAGCACAAAAATTCTAAGTTACTGTATGGAGAAAATTACATTTATATTGCTGTCCAGGCTGCAGATAGACATGCACAGCGTTTATGTTCCCAAACTATGATGTGTCATGTAACTACTGCACCTCCCTCATTTTGTCTAAGGACGTAAGACTCCAAAAAGGATGGAATATATTCTGCTGAGTTGGCAAAGCAACTTGAGGCAAAGATTACAGAACATACTGAAAAGGGACCAGCATCTGCAGACCACACAATGACTATGCTCACATTTGCAACAAAAGGAAAAGCACAGATGGGAGGGAAGCGGAGAAAAGCTGCAAACCGATCTGGCAGATGAAATGGAGAGTGGCACAAATTAGATGGAGGAGCAGAAGACAGAGGGAAGAGTTAGGTGAAACAGTCAAGGGGTGCCCTCAGTGCTTGAGCAAAGCTGCTGCACACTAAAAGCCCAGGGAATCTCACCGTCAGGATCTGAAGGGCAAGAAGGGTTGGGATGCAGAAATGGGCATGTCGCAAGGCACGAAATCTCACGAGATTTCAGGGGAAAAAACATGGTTGATACAGGCTTACAGGGCAAAATGGGATGCGTGGAAAACTAAGGGGGGGGTGCGAGATTAATTTTTTCCGTGGGGGTAAAGAATATCGCAGAGAAGCCACGCAGAGGGCCAGGGGAAGAATGCTGCCAAGAGTACGGGTAGGAGGCAAAAGTTGAGAAGCCACAGACGAGGTAAAAACTGCAAAGAGGACATGGTGGAGAGCATGGAAAGGAAAATGTGAGGCTGTACGCTGCAAGCACGGGGGGGGGAGGGAGAGGTCACAGGTGGCACACGACTATGTAGAGCTGACCAAACGGCCCCATCCTACAGGTCACTGGAAACACGCTTCCCTTACACAAACAGGTATTTGTCTGTTTGCATCTGTGGGTGTGCTGTGTCAACAAGGCGCTCTGGGCACAGGGACATCACTGAATATAATCCTTGCTTTCTTCCCTCTAGGACATTGTGTCAAGGCCTGTTTGTGCCTTCATGTGAAAATGCCACTGCCAAGGGATGCGTGTTGGTGTAGTTTTGCATTTTTAGTAGTTGAGAGTATGAAGGATAAAAAAACCTGGATTGGTGAGAACAGCTGAGCCACGAGCCGCGCATCTCCTGACAAGAAGAGCAGAGAACAACATCTGGTCATTGTATAGACTTTTTTAGTTCCTATTTTTGGGTGTAGCTCCAGAAATTTTCTTCTTGCAGAAGAGAGGGATGAAAGAGGGGTACTTGAACTAAGCCAGGGCTTGAACGCTGATAGCAGCTAGACCAGAGAAATTGGCCAGAGGAGCTTTGTGGAAGAGTAGGGGAAAAAAACAAACAAACAAACAAACAAACAAAAAGCCATGCGTTTTCATGAGCTGGTATTTTGGTATTAGTCTAGATCTTTGTGTATGGGTTACATGACAGTTTCTTTGGGGCAGGCACTATGCACTGTGCGTAGCTAGGAAGAACGTAGATTAGTCAGATCATAAGAGAAGCAGCTGTAGCTGCAGAGGAGGCAAGATGGGAACTTCCTACCTCCCTGTCACACGGATTATAATATATCCAATCTCTTTCATACGTTCCTTCAGGAGATACATACTTACTGCTCTCCCTGTTCCACAAGAACCAATTACTGTTTCTATTAAATGCTCAAACTGAAACACATTCCATTATACTCCGAGCACCTGTTCTAAATCCTCACTTTGCACCAAGGCTTACTGTTTGTATCAGGACGAGGACTCGGGTGCCTAAATACATTTTCCACCTAGATGAATGAATCACCTTGACTTGTACCTCTGAGAATGGCTGTGTGCATGTGCACACCCATACACACTCATGTGCATGCTTAGTTTCGTACGTAGGCTTGCAAATGCATGCAGACTTTCTGTGAGCATCTGTGACCAAGAGTGGGACAATATAAATCTTCTGGGAAAGGGAAAGCGAAATTAGTAATCCCCGTCTACTCAAACTGACAAAAAAAAACGGTCTGAAGCATGGCTACGGGAACATCTGGTTAGTTAGCAACAAATCCCCGCAGCTGCATGACGCAACCTGCCATTCTGCAGAAAGGGCTTTTGCTGAAAAGCAGTCTCGGAGCCGGGAGGGAGGCGATGCATCCCGGCGGGCTGCCCCCTGCCCGGGGGCTCCGCCGCCGCCTCCGCGGCCCGGGAACGGGCGCCAAGAGCGCGCTGAAGAGCCCGGTTTGCAAGGCAGGCGGCAGGGGTCAGCGTTGCACGCCGGCCGCCGCCCGGCCGATGCGGCGACCGCCCCGCCTCACCGGGAGGCCGGGCTGGCGGCGGGAGCTGCCGCTGGCCAAGAGCGGCAGCGGGGGGGTCGCCGTAGCCCTTGGGTGGGGGGGAGGGGGGGGGGGCGAGGGCTCAGGGAGGACCCAACCCTGCCAGCTGCCGTGCTACCGGGGAGCAGCACGTAGGGCTGAAGCCACCGAGGCGCGGCCCCCCCCCCCCCCCCCCCCCCCCCGAGATAAGCTCCGGATGCACACCCCATCCGCGCCCCACACCGTCCGGCCCTTCTCCTCCCAAGCGGCCCCACACGCCGGCCAGGACGCGCACCACACCCCCACCCGGGACGGCAGCCAGCCTCCACAGACGGGGAGCCCCGAGCCCCGCAGCGCCCTTCAGCGCTCCCCGGGCGGCGGGCACGGCCGCTGGCATCGCCCCGCCGCCCGCTCCACGCCCGCCAGCCCTCGCGCGCCTTCCCGCCGCCCCACGTGCCATCGGCCCCGCCCTCCTCGCTGCAGCAAGCGTACCTGCGCGCCCCCCCCGCCCCCCCCAAGCACCATGGCGTCTACCCCCGGCAGCCAATGGGAAACCTGTTGCTAGGAGGACAGCTCATTTGAATAGCCCAATCAGGCACCCACTCATTAGTCCCTCCTTATATGGGGAATCGGGATGCGCTGGCTAACCCTTCCCCCACCGCTAACTGCTTTGCCAGCGCGCGCGCGCCAGCCGGTTCCCGCCCTCCGCCGCAGAGAGAGCGCGGGAAAAACAGCCCTGCTCCCGCCCCGCCCCCCCCCCCCCCCGGCGGGTTCCCGCGCGGGGGCCCAGCGGAAGGGAGGGGAGGAGTCCCGGCGCCGGGAGCGCTTCCAGCGGGAGGGAGGAGCGGGCGGGCGGGCCGCTCGAGTGGAAAATTCCAGGCAGGAGGCCGCAGGAGCCTGGCCGTCGCCAGCCCTTCCCTCCCACACGGCCCCGCAGCGCCGCTCCTCACCCACCCCCGGTTCCTCCGGGGGAAAGGGGGAGCGGCCCGGCTGTACGGGCGGCTACCCCCGGCGGTGCTGCGAGGGCGGCGGGTAAAGGGCTCGGCTCCCCCCGGGCAGTGCCTGGTGCCGCGGCTCGGCGGGAAGAGCGGAGCGCGTCTCCGGTGCTTCGCGGCCCCGCCTGGCCTCGACGGGCCGGGCGGCGCCGAAGAGGGAGGCGGGGGCTGCGGCGGGCCCCCGCTGCCGGGCGGCCGCCGGCCCTCGCCGAGCGCACATTGTTCTGGCGGCCGCGCTCCCCGCGGCGCGGCCCGCCCCTCTCCCCTCCCTCCTCCGCCTCCCGTCCCTCTCCCCTCCCTCCTCGGGTCCCTCCTTCCCTCGTCACCGGGCGGCGTATAAATCCCCTTCCCCGGCGTATCCCCCCCCACCGCGGGAGACCCTGGTACTTTGGCCCTTCGGGCGGGAGCCCGCCGCCTCCGCGCCGTTGGGACTTCGCGCTCCCGCCGCTCACCGCCTTCCTCCCGCCACCCCTCCCCGCGGGGCTCCCCTCGCACCGTCCCCACCGGCCTCTTCCCTTCGCTACCCGGGCCAAGGATGTCGGAAAAACGCGTGGAGGAGGCGCCGGCGGAACTGAGCGCTAAGGTGAGACACCCGCCCCGCTCCCGACGTGTGTGGGGAAGGGCGGGGGGGGGGGGGGGGGGGGGATGGCGGAGGGCGCCGGTCCCCCTCGCTCCCCCCGCGGCCGCGCGGTGGTGCCTGAGGTGCCCGGCCGGCGGGGGGCGCGCGCGCGCGCGCGGGCCCCGCGCGCCGCCCGGCCAATGGGGGGCGGGGGCGGGGCGGGGGGCGCGAGGGCCCTCGCGCCCCCCGCCCCGCCCCCGCCCCCCATTGGCCGGGCGGCGCGCGCGCTGGGTTTGGCTCGGCTCGAGGCGGAGGAGGGCGGTGGGGGGGGAGGGGGGGGGGTGGGGGTGGAGTCGGGATCGCGCCGGCGGCTTCTCCCGTCAGGGCGGGAGGCGGCGGCGGCGGCGGCGCCGTTGGGGAGCGGTTTAACGGCCGCCGTGCCCCCCGGGAGGGCGGGAAGTTGTGTGGACACAAAGCGCGGGCCCTCGGGTGGCGGCGGGGAGAGCCGGAAACGCCTCGGTCTACGGTCAAGGTTGTTCTAGGCGGGGGGGGGGGGGGGGAGAAAAAAAAAAATTAAACTCATCCGTGTTTCTGGTTTCCACATGCGTGTGGTCTGAAACTGCCTCTGATGTGTTTTCGTTGGTTTGTCAGGGCGGGCAGATTTAATGCCTAACGCGTTTTCTCCCCTCACCGTTATTTGTATTTCCTCTAAACCCTCTTTGTTTAAGCATCCCCATGTTTTCTTGCCGCTCACCACTGGAATGTGTTTTTTCTCATCTCACGTATAGGAAATGAAAGAAAAGAAGGAAAAACTTGAGGAGAAAACAGTCCACAAAGAAAAGAAGAAGGAGATCGTAGAGGTGAGGCCCTTCTGAGGGATAGATTTAGGGATGTCGGTGGGGAGGGGCGTTAGAAGAGGTGGTTAGTCTGGCTTGCTGTGCGTAATGAATATGAAGGGAATAGGGGAGATTAAGAAAGAGAGCAGGCCAAGGGAGCTCCTAAGGGAGAGGAGCAAATGAAGAGCAGGCTATAGGATAATTGTGGAGAATGAGCCATGAAGGACTTAACATAGTCAACATGGCCCAGCAAGAAGGTGTCACAGGAGATGTGGTCCTGCACCCACTGAAGTATCCTGAGGTGCATAAGGAGTGTAAGTTGAAGGTGGTGGGGGGAGGACGATGAGGAAATGCACAGATTGATGAAGATCAGAGGGGATCTGGAAGCAGATGTACTATGAGCATAGGCCAAGTGGTTAGCCTGTAACCAGAGAGATGTTCTGATTGTTGGGATGTAAGGTTGTGGGAGTCAGGGAGGTTCATATCGGTGGGGAGAGACTGGAAGGATTGGTTTTGTAAAGAAGGCTGGTTGGGAGGAGGGTTTCAGCTGGGATGGTGGGAATAACAGTAACAGTGCAGAGGTCACTCACTCGATGCACATCTGAGTCTGCAGTGGCTGGAGCTGTGAAGATTGTTCTTGCGCTTGCAGCAAAAAGAGCACATGGGATTATCCTGATGCCACTTTCTGCTCTGACTGCTTTGTTTCGTTCAGGATGAGGAAAATGGAGCTGAAGAGGATGAGGAAGAGAGTCCTGATGATGTGGATGAAGAAGCTGGTGATGAGGATGAAGGTAGGAATAATTGGTATAGGAAGCAGACTGCAGAGGAGTAGAAGACTGTGGAGGGAAATTTCTTCTCTGAGCCCTCTGACTGTGAGATTACATCCCCTTAAATGCTACTTCAGTTAACCTGTGATTTCCTCTCTTGCTTGTGCTTATAAGGAGATGAGAATGGGCGAGAGCAGGATGGTCTTGCAGAAAAGCGATCTGCAGAGGAGGAAGAGGTGAGTGACAGTGTGAGGGCAATGGCAGTAAGAAGGAACTAGGTTACCTGCTATGTGCTGATTAAATCCATGTGGATGATGCTGCTGATCATCTTAAATTGTCCTTGGGTCTCACTGCTTCAGCAGCAGATGGGTAAACAAATCTGCTGTGGCCAAGGGATAATAAACCCCTGTAGACTCCTTGTAGGATCCAGGTCCTTTCATGGGCAGTCACAGTGCTGAGTGTTTGAGAGTCAAGGTGCTTGAGATTCTGCCAGGCTTCAGGATGGATTTGTAAGGGTGAATGCCAGAGTCTGTCTATAGTGTGAGCCTGGGCTGCTTATACCTCCCAAAAGTAACAGCACGGGTGCCTCTCGAAATGGAACTGTCTGCGTCTTAACCGTGACCGTCAACAGAACAGTTGTATCAGGCACTCAAAGATCCTCTTGAAGAGGAGTGGACTTAAGGCAGGCCAAACAGATTTCCATACAGAGCAAAGAGCAGCAGTAAGAATTTTCTGGAGAAATTACGTGCCTTGTTGCGGTGGCTGATGGTAACTCCATTTTTTCTTGTGTCTTACATAGGATGAAGTGGATCCAAAGAGACAGAAGACAGAAAATGGGTCTTCAGCTTGAGTCCTCCCCTCCCATCTCTGTTCCGTCCATCTCTTCTCCTCCTCCATTCCAGCCTGTGCTTGCACTGTCCGTTAGCCTCTGGCTTCACACAATCTCAGATGAGGAAAGTTTAGAAATGCGCTCAAACAGGGAAGACAGCAGTTTCCTTCTCACCCAAAGACCTAGCCCATCTGTGACATTCCCCAGCTGAAATTATTTCAGTCCCCCAAATCCCTCCAGCTGTGCCCCACTTAAAAATGATCCTCTTCCTTCAAGAACCTCATCGTTGCCTGGGGGCCCAGTATGTAACCTTGCCAGGCCTGTATGCCAGGCTGCTCATGTGGCAAGCGCCTCTCCTTCCCTTTTCACTTGCCCTCCTCTTTTTGGTCACTAATATGACAGGTTCTTGACGGCTTCTGCTCCCCAGACCTGCTGTCATATCCGTCCTGAGCCCGGGAGGCTGCAGGCACAGATCTCATGGTGCGTTTTCCAGTCCTAGGCCTCTTCTCATCTGTTTTCCCACTGAACCCTGAGAGACAAAAAATATTACAAGTGAATAATGGTTCTATTAAACTACACATGGAGACAGAATTTATTTTAAGCTTTTTTCAAGTTTACACGACATCAAGCTGGCCCTCGTGAATGTTTCGGAAGATAAGCATTGGTTTTATATATGAATTTCATCTGAACTGTGTAATTTTTTAATTTGGAGGCTTTTTTAAAACGATTCAAGAAACAGTTGGGGACCAAAGTTTGATTTCCATTTTTTCCCTTCAGATTTTCTTGTGACCATTTTTTGTAAATTAAAGGCAATATAGCCACAGCATTTTCTATGGCACAGACATCACGAGGATGATAGATATAAATATATATATTGTTTTCAACTAGCACTGTAAATAAAAGCATTTAAAAATATTTCAAACGGCTTGCGTGGGCGGCTGTGTCTGTGCATCTTGGGTTACGTTCTGGCTGGATCAGTAGAAGTTGGTTTGTGGAAAGGTGGGGTGGCTGGACCAGCAGTGGGCAGAGCCGGGGAGCCCTAAGTTAGGCAGGAGACCCGCGTCAGCTACCCGAAACCAGCACGCTTGGGTCCCGTCCCCTCCCTCTGCTTGGCAGTTGGGAGGGCACAGCACAAACGGGACATAAAGCTTTGGGGCTAGCGTGAAGCTTTCGAAACGGCAACCGGGCCTCGGCACCGGGCGACAGAGGGTCAGAAAGGGAACCCGAGCTGTGGGTGCTGGATGTGGCACTGACCCTACACTGCCCTACGGCTTTCCTGCCCTGGCTGGCTTCAGGCACGACCCACGCAGCACCAGTCACAGCAGAAGGGAAGTGTTTTAAGAGGCGAGAGCTTCCATTCTTTGTCCCGCCAGCTGCCTGGGAGAGATCTGTCAAGAATTTGGTTTTTTATCTTTGCAGACCTTTAAAGCTGCTGCCAGCATTTCTTCCTTTTCAGACTCGTACTTTTGCAATCATGCAATGAGCCGCTGAGACTGGGAGCTTTAAAGAATACCAACTTTTGTCTGAGCATCCGTGGCTTTGTGCTTGTCCAACTGCAGCAGCGTATCAGATAGCGGGAGTGCAAACAGTTGCTCGTCTCCAGAGGGACAAAGCATCAACAGTCATTTTCTCCACATGTCTGTGTTTGGTTGCAGGCCCGGCCCCGGGGTGCGGAGGGACACAAGCGCTGTGCAAATGGCACAGCTGCTGCCAAAAGCCTCTTCCCACCTATAAACGTCTCTGGGGGCATGTGCTTGCCCGGTGGGATCTCTCTGCACCACAGTGTGTGGGTGCTCTGCTCCCACAGAACCCCTGCGGTGGTGGAGACTCTGCTGAGTCTGGACCCATCTCCGCCCACAGGCCACCACAGCCGTGATGCTCCTGTCCCGGCCCCTTCTCTCCTTCCCAGCTCAGTGCCAGGGATGGGATTTGGCCCCTTCTCCTCCAGCAGGGATGGGCCTGGGTCAAACAGGCCCCTCTGGAGCTGGGACGTCCCCATCTCCAGCTGGGGCTGCGTGCTGGGCTCTGCGTTCAGGGGCCTTTAGCTGTTGCAACCGTGCCCAGGATCAGCCTCAGCCACGTTCACTGCAGACTTGGCAGCTGGAGCCACAGCCGGGTAGGGTGTCTGATCCCTGTGAACAGCATTTCTAAAGCAAGTAGCTGCTGCCTGCGATCGGCTTGCAACACCCCTCCCTGCTCCCGCCTGCCTCGTGCACTGTGATCAGTAGCGCTGCTTCTACCTGCACATGTATTTCGGTTGTGCTTTCACAATTTTGTATTCCTACTATTGCTCCACTTTAAAAAATTACGGACTCTAGTCTCTGTTCAAGATGCTTTCACATTGGAGCAAGTGCTCAAGACTCCCCCAAACATTCTGATGACCAGTCACCTTTTACTCTTTGATACTGAAGGTAAATTATCAGTGCACGATACAATTTCTGTAGAGGCTGGTTACAGTTTTCATGCTGCTTCCCCACCACTGCAGCAGTGCCTGACTATAAGTAGCGAAGAATGTACTTGCCAGTGAGAAGTGGTGGAGAGAGAACTCCATCGCTGCTTTCCATGTGGATGCAGCAGCAGTAGCTCTGGCTGTATCCAGCCAGTCATCCAGAAGGCAGTGAGGCGGCACCTGATTGTTAGGCTAGCACTAGTGACATGAGCAGCCACCCCTCCTTTCCTCGGAGGGAGACACTGTAGGACAGAGGGAAGTGACAAAGGGCTGCTAGCCAGGTTCCCCATGTCTTCATGGACCACTTGACTCCACAGCTTCCACTAGTTCTTCCATCTTATTCAGTTTTCTTGAATACCTTTGTCATGATCTATGGATAGTTAGAAGATATAACTACAGATACAGACATAGAAGAACGTCTGCTTTGGTATTTTTTCATCTCAGTGACCTGTGGGACATCATCACTGACTTGAGATGAGGGCTACAGATAACCGAATGAGAAATTGCAGTTTCTTCCCTTCCCTTTCCTTAGATCTGCAAAGATCCATGATGTATCTGGTGGCATTTTAGCTGACAAGGCGATCACAGCAAGAAGTTGCATAGATTTGCACAAAAAGTTGAGGATACAGCTGAGGATACAGTTCTGCATTGCATTTCATCTCAAGCCTGCATGTGTGCTTGATTTGCATCCAAACTTGAAGATGCTTTTTATTATTCAGTCTAATTCTTCTACAGGTGACATCAATTGTATCATGCTGGTATCATCAAGGTAAGAACAAAGTCCAGCTTCACCAGCAATTTCCTCAGGAGCCTTATTCACCTTTCTTGGCCCTGTGCTAATTCTCCACTCATTTTATTTGATTTCTGTGACCATCTGTTAACCTCAGCAGCTGGGGCAGAACTCCCTCAACTGTCCCTTCCTTGCTTCTGATGGCACCTGCTCCAAGCTTCTAGCAGCTCTGGTCCTACCAACCAAGCAGCACCAGAGATTTCCTTCCTTCTCATCCTCCTCCGGGGCTGCTTGCTTTGAGAAAGTTGTGGAGGTGGCACAGTCATGCTCCTGCAGACTCTGCTAAACTTCCCTCTGGACTGACAATTGCTGCTTCCAATGGATCCTTTTGTGTGGTTTAGAAAAGCAAACACAGACACCAATGCAGAGAATAGGTAGAGTCACCTACTGGGTCTCAGCTGGGTCCCCGTCCCGGCTCAGATGAGCGAGTGACGCCTCGATCCTTGGCAGGGATCACTGGACAGTTGGTGCCTGGACCCACCGGCACGGCAAGGTCTCTGCCGGAAGGCTGTGGCTGTGGTGGAGGTTTCCAAGCCTGTCAGGGCAACATTGTTGGGATGCAAATTGCTCCTTGTTGTCCTCTTGAAGAGCTGTGGTGGTGAGCTACAGGCGGCAAGTGTGAGAGGAGGCAACTGAACTCCATGTTGATTAAATGAAACCAGTTAACATTTCTGGTTAAGCAAAGCAACCTGACCTAGCTTTGGAGTCAGCTCTGCTGCAACCAAGGCAGGTTTGGGCTGGAGATCTCCAGAGGACCCTTCCCATCTACATCTTTCTGCGATATATGAAAAAATAGAGGCTTGCCATGGAAAGTTCTGCTGAGTCTGAAGATACTTTGAATGGTTGATCTCAAGAACAAATGATCTTTGCATCTTATAGCTGTTACCTCCTCATTTCCCGCTTAGGCAAATGATTCCCTCCACCCAGCCTCTTTGGTCTTTCACACCAGTTTTAAGCCATTAAATGAAACAAGACCAATGTAATCAAAACCACCGTATGGGCAGAATCATGAATCCTCCTTCAGACCTGGAAAAAGTGAGCCCTCCAGCCACTGCTGGTCTGGGAGGAAAACCCTTCTTGCCTCAGGAAAGTCCACAATCACCTTGTCATATTAGATTTAAAAAAAAAAAGGTGAAGATTAATTACTTCCCCACCCCTTCCTCTGGCATCAGGGGCTTCTTTAGGCCCTCTGGTTAGGAGACGCATTGCCCAGCCGCTTCCCATATGCCATATGGGAAACTGAAACAACTTGCCTTCCCAGATCCTTAAGAAGACCCTGTACTTTTCCCTCCCACCTCTCTCCTTTATTTCAAGAGCAGAGTCAGACAGACACTCTCATGGCTGATCCAGTTTGTGTGTTTTCTCAGGGAAGAAGTCTGTGTTTACATGTGTGGGCTCAGACTGGGGACATATCACAGATGGACAGGACTGGAGCGCTGCATACCAGTGGATGAGTTTGAGGTTTGTTTCCTGGTGAGCTCTTATGGTTTTATTAAAACATGGACAGTCACAGGTGTGAGAAGAGACCTAAGGTGTTAGTATTCAAGGGTCTCAGCCACACAGGATGGCTTACGGACCTAGTGTGGTGCCATCAGGTGCAGCTTCGCTCTTGTGAAAGGCATTTTCTATCAGACACAGAAGAGAGTGATTTCCCATCTCAGGCTGTTCAGGAAGCCTGAGTCACAGCTGAAAGTATCTGTGCACAACATTAGATCCTTAGCTGAGCTTCAGGGAACTGGGACATCAGAGCAAACAAGCTTCACACCTTGTCAGGTGTACCTGTGCAGGCAAGATATGGTAGATGACTATGTGACTTGCTGCAAATCACCCATTAAAGAGGACAGAAGAACATGTAGCCCATGTATATGCTGTCGGTGATATCTAGCTGATGTCATTTGTCACCAGGGGGGCTTGCAGGAGCTGCATGTTCTACGTATCTCCAGCATTTTTTATAGTGAAATTTATTGTTCCCATTCTCTATTCTGTATCTTAAACATTTTGTCTCAGTAAGTCTAGCTGAACGTTTCCAATGTTCTAGTGGTGTTCAAGATGCTTTGTTCTCAATTTAGTCATTTAATCCATGAAACAGTGTCATAATGTCAGCAGGGTGTTTAGCTACATGTCCTGCAAAGAAGAATCTTGTCCCTAAATCCAAAATATTACAGGGGCTTCATGCATCCAGGATGGAGGATCCTGAAACCAGTAAAGGCTGTAACATGTAGCTAAAACAGTCAGCTTCCAGAGCTCTGTGATTATGTATGTCTGCCAATACCTCTCTGGCAGCTCATGTACAGTCATGTCTTAGACTTTCCCAGGTCCTACAACAATTCATCCATCATTTTAGGATGCATTTATTAGGTTGCATAATTTGTAATGAAAATTTTCAAAGACCGTTGCCAGAAGCATCCTTCAGCAGCATTTCTGTTGTTGCACATCCAAATGACTTCACAAAAAGGTCTTTGCTGGACAGCACCTCCACAGGCATGAACTCAGGTAGTGCTCTGTTACGCACGTCCATAGGCATAGCAGAAATCCCATCTGGACACTTAGAGCTAATTGCTGTTTTCCTGTGTGAAGGACAGTTTCTTAGATGGTACTTTTAAATACTTTCCTATGTCAGATCCAGTCTTGAAAACAGCTGATGGTTGTATATAGCTCCAACAAACCTCCTGTGCT